ACATTTTCTCTTATTCGCTCCATTACACGATGAAACTTCAACACGTCTGACCTGTACTCCAGGTTTGCAAACTCTTTCTTAGCCATGAGGATGCTACAAAGAACAAAGAAAAATTCATATCACAATCTGCGTGTAAAAAATCTGTCTATTCAATTTCTCAACTTGCCATCAGACTTTGTCATAATATTGTCGACTATAGGTAAAATGACGATAGGTAAAATGACAGATAGGTAAAAACAACACCCCAAAAAGCATATTGTTTCAATTGAATCATGGAATATTGATTTGGTACAACCAATATATCTTTGGCAGAACCTATATATCCCATGACAGAATCTATACATCTGATAGTATGAAATGCATTATCTCTACATTAGTATTAGTTTAGGTATTTCCCAGATAGTATGAAACCCAGAAACCCAGAAAGTTAGAAACAAAGAAAATATCTCCTCAATTTCTCAATTCACCACGTTTGATACCCAATCTCTGATTGACATTTGACAATTGTGTGCCCAATGTTAGAGACCCAATTCCTATTTGTTGACAATAGGTAAAATGACGACTTCATACCAAACCAAACGCAAAAACAACAAAACACAAAGCAGATTATTGAAATTGAAATACATAAATTAAAAATACCTGTACGTGAGGAACTGCACTCCAGCAACCCAATGTCAGAAGACCCAATCCCTATTTTGTCAACAATTGATTTCTTGCTTTTGAACATCAGGTTCCTATCATTTTCATACCCAAAAAACTCTACATTATTGCAGCAAGAAATCTGCAATGACTGGACGGAAATCTGGAGCGATTTGGACGGAATGAGCATGATTTTAGGAAATAACCATGAAAGCTGGGATGTCTCAGATGTCCTAAATTGTGACCATCGAACCTTCTGAGTATCTGTAATATTCAAACCTAATCTGAAACCCCAACAATTCTGCATTGAAGAAGCAAGGAATCAATAGAGATTGGGTTCAAAGGAGAATAACTGTTTGTAGCAACGTGAAATCTGGGATATGTTTAAGATAATTTCCTTTTCTATCTCGATGACAACTGTGGTAAATGGATTCAGATTATGACGTGAATTATTATTTACCCAATTCAAGGGATAAGGGGCAATATTGGAACAAAATATGAGGGTGAAAAAATTTAAAAAAAATTATATCAGAAAATATTAAAAAAGGAATGTAATCCTATGTGGCATAACAGTCAAAGGACTTGTATCAAAGTCACCAAATCCGAGGATTAAAACCAACTTCTTAATGGGAAATTGGATCTATATCAACTTTTCTAAAAAAAGTTACTTGAAGAAAACATGCATGTATATACCACCCAATTATAATGGGGTTGATGCTTGGCAGTGAATTAGGAAGACAAGTAGCAATGACAAAATCTGCAGGGGAGAGTTCCTCTTTCTGACCTCGATCATGTTCTTCTACTGCTCTTGCTTAGTTACATTTGAGAACATACTCTAGCTTGTTGAATTTATAGAAGTTATAATTGAAAGAAGTTAAATGAGAAATGAGTTTCTAAATTAGTGAATTATCAATAAAGATAGTAGGTCTCTAATTCCTTAAGTGAAGTGAGTTTGCTAACATGGAAAAGATGTATATGGACAATGACACGCATTTGAATGAAATGTTTTATCGCTAGAAGTTAATCTTAATTAATGAGGGCCCTTAGATTACAACACTCAATGACGGCCATTTAATGTTGTGCATTTACCCGCATTTCGCAACATTTAAGCCATCCTAATGATCTAATCGTTTAAGACAAGACACATGGCACATAAGCAAACTTCGAAAAAATTAATAAATATATAATAACTTAATTCAATTTAAAATTCAAAAAATTCAAAATTCAAGATTGAAAAAGGATGCAACTCTCCCTCCCCACCCTTATCCCCGCCACCCATACCCAACCCGAAGCCACCCTGGCCATCATACAATACAAGCCCCATTTCTCTCTCTTTCTCTCCCTCTCACACACAAATTGATCCGACAACCATAAAATAAGAAGGGTGTGAATACAAATGCAAAATACAAATCAAACTGATTGTTGAATTTTGGGGATACAGTTTCTGGTCAATTGAGTATATTGAGAAAGGGGCAGTGAGTGGAGAGGTTTATTCAGTGGATATATACAATTCCAATTTGATACTTTCAAAATCATAATCTAGGTGGATCAAAGATCAATCAAAGGCAGCATTAACATTCACTCAGAGATTTTAAGCATCCTTCCTAATTGTAATTAATTTGTAATTAAGATGTGGATCCAAAGCAAGTAATTTGCGTTTCTATTTTTATGCTGATTTTTTCACTCTCCTTTTCTCAACTTACACTCTCCTTTGTTTTTTATTATTTTTTTAAAATTTTTGTTCTTTCTCTTTCCTATTTTACCATTGGTAACATGGCAAGTTACATATGCACTTTGGTGTTGATGCGTAAAAAAATAATAAAGAATTCTTTAAAAATAATATTTTTAACCAAAAATAATAATATCCCAAACCCCAGCACACTCTTTCCCTTCTCCCTTACGCAACCACCCTCCCATCTTCTCTCTCCCCCTCTCTCTATTTCCCCTCTTTATTCGACAACAACCGAGCCCACCCCTCCTCATTTTCTCTCTTTCCCCCTCTTTCTTCATCAACCATCCAGGTTTTTTAAAAAAGTTTTCGGGTTTGAATATGGCTATCGGTGGGGCGATAAGGGAGTTTGTGGGTGGCTGAATTGGGGCAGCAATGGCTATCGGTGGGTGGGTAGCTGTGTGGGGTGTGACGTGGGGGCGGGCTGAGAAAGCTATAATTGGCTTAGCTGAATCACAGAGTGTAAAGCTCCTTACTTGAAGTGAAAAGCTTCAGACCCGAGCATTAGAGATTTCTCTTTGTTAGCACTTAGCAGAAATGTTACAAGGAAGGACAACAAGTTAGAGACTTTCGAGAATTCGGTGGGAATATTAATGTTGCTTTTGGAGATGAAAAAGAGAAAGTTGGATTCAGGAGATGAAAAATAAAATTTTGGTTTTTGAATTTGCAGAGAAGGGGGTAGAGAAAAGGAGTTGAGGGAGAGTGAGCCATTGATGTTGTTGGGGCTAGGGGCTAGTGCAGTGGTGGATGGTGTGGGTGGTAGTAGGGCGGTAGGGTTGTAGTGCAGAGATGGGAGAAGGAGGGGGTTGACAAAAAGAGGGGGTTGTTGGGGCTGGGGAAAATATTTCGTTTTTGTTTTGTAATCTTCTGGGAGCAACCTTATTTGGAGGAGAAAAACTTCCCTGTCGCAGTGATTCCACCATCAACATCCACATCAGTATCCCAAACCAATCCAATTCTGACAGTTGGCCACAGATTTAAACATATTTTATGCCTATTTTCTTCCTCCTCTCATCGGCATCCCTCTCTCTCTCCTCCTTTCCTCTTTCAGTCCGTAAAAATCTGTAACTTTGTTCTTCTAATTCTTCTCCCTCTTCAGTCACTCCATCACCCACACATCATGTATTAATTTCCCCATTTTATCTCTAATATATTTAAACAAAGATGAAAAAGGATAATAGGTAGTGATAATGAAATGGCTGGTTCTTAGGGATTTGCCCCTCAATTCATTGAAAAAAAAAAAGGCTGAATAAGGAGATGATAAGCTTTCTCCCAAACAACACCTTCAATGTTTCCTGACAAAATCGAAACAACACAATCTCTCTCAGCTCCACCATGTCTAATTTTCCAAAACTCCCCAATAGATAATAAATTTGAAGGAAAAAAAAAGTAAATTTAGGTTTTAGGCATAAAAAAATTTTCACTTTTGGAAAAAGCCAAGGCTTTTTCAAAAAAGACAGAAAAACCTCTCAACTTTCAAATCAAAGACATGCAAGTGTAAATGATTTCTTAGGAAATCCAAAAATAAATAAGGGCAAATTTGTCTATTTTGTCTTCTTTTACAAAATTTCTCTCTCCTTTGGGTTTTTCCAAAGTCTCCCAAAAAAAAAAGGAAAGAGATTCCTCAGATTGGAAAAGAGACAATGACGCCGGATAAATTTTTTCTCCTCAAAACCGTACCGAGTTCTTCCACATATTCAAAGCCAACCCAATCTTTCTCAAGTCCATTTGGAGAGAGAACTGGGAAAGACGAATCAGGGGTGTGTGGTTGATGATGATGGGGAGAGAGAGAGAGAGAGAGAGAGAGAGAGAGAGAGATGCCAACGAGAGGAGGAAGAAAATAGGCATAAAATATGTTTAAATCTATGGCCAGCTGTCAGAATTGGATTGGTTTGGGATATTGATGTGGATGCTGATGGTGGAATCACTGTGACAGGGAAGTTTTTCTCCTCCAAATGAGGTTGCTCCCAAACGATTGTGGCCGCAAAAGATCTAAAACTTGCACAAGTATCTAGAATAAAATGGAAGTGTGGAACTAAACGGAAGCATCTAAGACCCGATTTTCACTTTTTACGGTCCATAAACTCCATCTATAAAATGACACTAAAACCCCTTTTTCGTTCGTTTATAAAATATTTGCTAAAATATGAATATGGTTTGAATGTATTATGTTGAATTATATTATTCTCCATAAAGAGGTATATATAGGAGTTTACATGAGTGCTTTACAAGGAAATAGATACAGTAATCCATTAGGATATTGCCTCCTAATTATACAAAGATTTGTCAACTAAATAAAATGGGAAATTAAATCCCTCAATTAATTAAGGAAATAAATCTCCTTGATTAATTAGGAGACTCATGTCAACACTCCTCCTCAAGTTGGTGCATATATGACACCAATGCCCAACTTGGTAAGTGAGTCATGAAATACTCTGCCACAAACAGCTTTTGTTAAGATATCTGCCAGTTGATCTTCTAATTTTACGAATGGTAGGCGGATGATCTTCTTCTCAATCTTCTCTTTGATAAAATGTCTATCCACTTCAACATGTTCGGTTTGATCATGTTGGGATGGATTATGGGCAATGTCAATGGCTGATTTGTTATCACAGTGTAACTCCATTGGCTTTCATGGCTTGAAACTCAATTCTGTCAATAGTCTTTTGATCCACAGTAGTTCACAAACTCCGTGAGCCATTCCTTGATACTCTGCTTCTGCACTAGACCGAGAAACTACATTTTCTTTTTTACTCCGCCAAGTGACTAGATTACCTCTTACAAAGGTAAAGTAACATGAAGTAGAGCGTCTATTAGTAATGGAGCTAGCCCAATCAGCATTTGTATATCCAACAACTTCGAGATCTCTATTTTTTGAGAACATTAATCCTTTCCCAGGTGCTGACTTTAAGTATCTTAAGATCCGATGGGACACACTGGGTGAATGCATAAACTGACTAACCACACTCACAACATATGCAATATTTGGTCTTGTGTTGGCTAAATATATCAACCTTCCAACAAGGCGTTGGTACTGTTCCTTATTGGTTGGTTCTTGATCCATGCCTTCACATAACTTGTGATTTATCTCGATGGGTGTATCAACAGGTTTGCATCCAAGCATTCCTGTTTCAGTGAGCAGATCTAATACATACTTCCTTTGAGACAGAAATATACCAGTTGTGGACCTGGCTACATCCATTCCTAGAATGTACTTCAGATCACCTAAATCCTTCATCTCAAATTCCTGAGACAAATACTTCTGCAGTTTCAGTTGCTCTCCTGTGTCGTTTCCAGTTACGACTATGTCATCCACATAAACAATCAATGCAGTAAGTCTTCTTCCATCACGCTTCAAGAATAAAGTGTGATCTACATTACTTTGTATATATCCAAAATTCTTCGTGGATTTAGTGAATCTGTCAAACCATGCTCTGGGGGATTGCTTTAACCCATATAATGACTTTTGAGCTTGCAAACTTGACTTTCCTTGTCACGAGCTAAGTTACATCTTGGTGGTAAGTCCATATATACTTCTTCTTCCAAGTCTCCATGTAAGAATGCATTTTTTACATCAAACTGATGTAATGGCCAATCGAGATTTGCTGATAGAGACAGAAAGACTCCGATAGTTTTAATCTTGGCTACTAGGGCAAAGGTCTCTTGGTAGTCTATCCCATATCTTTGTGTGTACCCCTTCGCCACCAATCTAGCTATATATCTTTCAATAGATCCATCTGCTTTGAGTTTCACAGTATAAATCCACCTGCATCCCACTGTCTTCTTTCCATGAGGTAATGGCACGAGTTCCTATGTGTCATTCTTCTGGAGAGCTCCCATTTCTTCATTCATGGCTTCTTTCCATTTTGGGTCTTCTAGTGCTTCACTTACACTGTTGGGAACAAGTATGTCGACCAACTGTTTCACAAAGTGTACCTATGACTCTGATAATCTGCTGATGGATACATATTTGTTGATGGGATATTTTCCTTTGCCATTAAAATCTGCTTCGTAGTGTATTGGAGGTTTGCCACGGTTCTTCCTTTTTGGAATTTGATATGCAGGCTCTTTGCCTTCTGAAATCAAATTATCATGGTGATTGGTGTGGTATTGGAGCTGAAGAAGTCTCCGGAGTGGGCAAAATCTCATCAGTTTCCTCTCCTGAGTTGGACAGCAAATAAATGACAAATCAGGCTGAGGTTGATTTTCGGGTAGTGACCGGTCACTTCCAAGCTATGATCTGTCGTTTTCTGGTAGAGTCATTAGCGACCGGTCGCTTTCAACATGCGACTCGTCGCTTTCAGGCTGGGACAATTCTGGAGGAAAAAAAATTGAAAATTTGAGAAGTGTTGGTGTCGCAATGCTCCTCCTGTGCAGCTGAAAAGTATATGTCGTTTTCCCGGAACACAACATCCATAGAAGTATAGACTTTCTGACTAGGAGGATGATAACACCGGTATCCTTTCTGATGAGGTGCATAGCCAATGAAAACACACTTTTCGGCTCTGGATCCAATTTGCTTCATTAGTGAATATGTAAGTGGACAAATACAATACAGCCAAAATCCAAGGTTCTAAGTTTGGGGTGAGAGGTGTTTGGATATGGTGGTGAAGTGTTTGAATTGGTGTTTGAAAATTTAGGATACTAGAGGGAATCCGATTGATAAGGTATGCTGCAGAGACGACGGCTTCGCCCCAAAATGATCGTGGCATACTGGCACCAAAGAGAGAGGCACGAACGACTTCCAATAAGTGTGTTCTTTCTTTCAGCGACCCCATTCTGTTGGGGAGTGTAAAGGCATGAGCTTTGATGTATGATGCCATGATCTTGTAAGAACTGGTTAAGATCATGGTTAAGAAATTCTCCGCCATTGTCAGAATGAAAACCCTGAATTCTGGCATGAAACTAAGTCTCCACCATTTGATAAAACTGTTGAAACCTGGAACTGACTTCCCCTTTTTGTTTTGCGAAGGGAAACTCAAGTCATGCATTTGCAATCATCTATAAATGTAACAAACCATTGCGCCCCTGCCGAAGTGGCAATTTTAGTAGGTCCCCAAACATCAGAATGAATAAGGGAAAACGGAACCAAACTCTGATTTGAACTTAATGGGAACGGGACACAATGGCTCTTAGCCAATTCACACGTATCACACTGGAAGCTAGAAACATCAAGACTGGAAAATAATGATGGAAACTACTTCTCAAGATAACTGAAAGAGGCATGCCCAAGACGTTTATGCCATAACCAAATTTTGTCTCTCTCCCCCTCAAGACGCGTTCCACTGGTTGTGAAAGCTTGACCACCCTTTACCTCACTATCCGGTGCCAGTCCAAGTAATAGAGTTATCGTCGTTCCTGTGAGGATGTCATGGAAAACACAATGATTCGGCCAAAATGTTACAGTACACCCCAAAGTAGTAGTAAGTTGTGCAACAGATAACAAGTTATGGTCTAAAGATGAAACAAGTAATACAGAATCCAGATGTAGGGAAGTAGAGAGAGATAGAGAGCCCTCCCCAACCACAGGGGAGGGGGTACCATTAGCATTAGACATCACCGATGAAGTGGATGATTTGCGATTAATAAGTTGGGCAGGATCAAATGTCATGTGATCCGTAGCGCCCGAGTCGATAATCTATGCGGAGTTTTTGGAGGACGTACGAAAAGTAGAACCTTTGGTGGTGGTGATAGAAGCAGGAGTCCGGGTAGCCGGGTCAGCAAGATTGACCGCATGCTTCTATAAGTCTGCAAGAAGATGGAGAATCGTAGGGGTTCCTGACATCGCAACGAAAGTAAGATGTGATATGAGAAGGTGAGGAATTTGATGTGAGGAAGTTGATGTATGAATTTGATGTAGGAATTGGATTTAAGAGGTATGTGTATAAGATTTGAGGGTATGTGTTTAGGGATTTGGATAAGAGGATTTGAGGACTTTAGATTTGAGGGATATGGATTTGGGGAAAATTATGAGGAATTTGATTTAGGGTTTTGGATTTGAATATGAGAAATTTGAGATAAGAGTTTAGAGACAACCTAGGATTGATTGCTCTGATACCATGCTAAAATATGAATGTGGTTTGAATGTATTAGGTTGAATTATATTCTTCTCCATAAGGAGGTATATATAGGAGTTTACATGACTGCTTTACAAGGAAATAGATACAGTAATCAATTAGGATAGTATCTCCTAATTATACAAAGATTTGTCAACTAAATAAAATGGGAAAGTAAATCCCTTAATTAATCAAGGAAATAAATCTCCTTGATTAAGTAGGAGACTCACGTCAACAACACTCTGTCTCTCTCGTCTCTCTCTCTATCTCCCTCTGTCTCGCAAGTAAACGCTGTTTCTAGGTGAAGATCGATACGCCAAGATGAGGTGTTCATAGCTCCTAGTTTCTTTTACTCTAGATTTTATTGCTAATTTTGTTCATTTTTCATTTTGAGTTTCATGTGAAGCAGAGGATTTGAGCTAGGTTTTTTTTATTGTTTATTTTCTTTTTCTTTTTTCCTGTTTGGTTGCTTAGAAAGTGAAGGAAAATGAATCATCTGTAAGTATGAGAACTTGACTCTGCCTATGGGGGATGGTCTATTTTGATTGTTGGGTTCAGTAGCTGGTATTTTCCTTGATTTCCTTTTCTTCACCTTTATGTATTTCTCCGCAACCAAACAAGAGAGGTCTAGGGTTTTAGTTATTATTAGCAAAAGGTGCCCGTGCAATGCTGCGGGTTTTAAAACCAAAGGCAATTTGTATTAAACATATGTCTGAAAATCAACCCAAAAAAGTAAAAAGAGCAAAGGGCAATATGGTCATTTTATTGTGCTGCCAAATAGGACAAAAAAGAACAAAGAACATAAGTAGGGGCAAAATTGTCATTTCACTATTGCGAATGGATACTTTACGAATAGTGAATTTTGGGATCAAAATCAACCCAAAAAAGTAAAAAGAGCAAAGGGCAATATGGTCATTTTACTATACCGCCGAATAGAACAAAAAAATAACAAAGAACATAAGTAGGGGCAAAACCGTCATTTCATTATTGCGAATGAATAGTCTATGAACAGTGAATTTTGGGATTCAGTTTTAGTAGATATATATATTTCTTCCCTGGAAATGGTCATTACATATGCTGTGATTTAACTGACTCTATTGGTCGAAATATGTTTTTTCTTATTTTCCATCTTTCTTTTTCTCTGCAACCAAACAAAGGGCTATGCTTTTATTTTTTCAAAACTGAATGTAGTGAGATTTGGGTGAAATTATACCAGACCCAAATGGGAAAGGGAATTTGTAAATTTAGATTTCTTATTTTTTAGTAAATTTGGCTTACACCCTTCAAATTCAATTTGCCATACCTAAAACCCTTCACTTTTTGTTCCTATAAATAATACCCAATTTGTATAAGTAAAAACCCATGACTAGGATCCAACTCAATAAGTTACCTAATTAAGCATAAAATCTGATTTATTGTAATTTTCAAATTCCAAAAATACCCCCAACTAAGCCATTATTGCATTTTGTATATTAATATAGGAATCGATATGGAAACAGTTTTTAATTGGATTGTATATAATGACAGATGTTGAATTTGGAAAGATCTCCAAATGGTTGTAATGGATGTAGGAATTAATTTTGGAACATTTAAAAAAAAATTTATCAATAAATTCAAATTTGGGTAATCGGTTTGTTTAATAAAATGTTTATGTTATTTTCTTTTTATGAATTATACATGACTAATAATCCACTTTATAATTGTTTATGAATAAAACTGTACATACTAATTATGTTGAAAAAATAATGTACCTATTTTTTTATGAAAAATATAATTTACCTAGTATGAAAAGTGTACATAATTATCTATTCCAATATACCTACATTATATGACATCCAATATACCTACATTAATTTTAATGTACTTACAATTAGGATTTAGGTATTATATGTCATCCGATGTACCTACCATTTGAATAATATACCTACTACGAATAAAGTACCTATTATTTATCTAAATAATGTACCTATTTTTTTCTATAAATAATATAGCCTTTTTTTTTCTGAATAAAGTACCTATTATTTATTTTATTAAAAGTAATTTTTTTTAAATGAACCTATTTTCTCTCTCCAAATAACTGACCTATTTTTTTCCTCTAATAATGTACCTATCTTGCCTCTCCAAATAATGTACCTATACACATTTACAAGTATATTGTAAAATAATTTACCTATGGGTAAATAATGTACCTATATTTTATATAAATTATGTGTACCTATTTTAATTATGAAAAATATACGCAATTACAAAGTAACTGACTTTTTTTTTTGGGGTAAATAATATACCTATATTTTATATGTATATATTTATATTATATTTTTCATATGTACATTATTGGATATGTAATTTATATATATATTTTTGCAATTTTAGGGGGCGAGATGTGAGAGGGAATGACAACTAAAAAAAATGGGGTGATTGATATGATATTAATAGGGAGTATATTAATTACAATTATGGTAGTTAATGAAATGCTTGAAATAAATTATAAATAAAATATGAAGTTTAGTGGCAACGATGTAAAAACATAGAAATACTACGACCTCTTATATCATACTGGTCATTTAAATTTGAAATTGGGTTTTACACATAGATTTATAGAGTGATGGGTATATGTCTAGAAAATAGAAAATGTAGGGATCTATATTGGACAAACCCTTATTTTTTCTGTCCGTATCTTTTGTACGATACGATGATGCATATACAGAACACTTATTCAATGAATGCAACTATGTTTAATATTGCACTTGTACATTGCTTTTCCATTTTTGTTTTGTTTACTCCTTTAACTC